AGACTCCAGACTCTCCGGATCTCAGATTCCCGACTGACGGTCAGCGCTGCATGTGTTTTTGGTTATAATTTAAATGAGAACGATTGCTAAATGATCTCATTCCCGTCTCGTTCCTGAAACCGAATGCTGTGGGAAGATCTCCTCTCGGCCATCCTTAAAAGCGATCATGCTGTGCCCCATGGCAGGCGAACTAATCAAATGGGGATCACTTTATGCTAGGTAATATGCTGATGTCGAAGACCAGTATCAGTAATCAGTATCTATTCTTCCTTCTAATACTTCGAGCTTAAAATGTTTTCTTATCGATAAACTTTAAGCCATTTCAAAATGAACGATTACAAGCGAAAATAATGGATATACACTAATCATCCCATTTGATGAGCACTCCCTGGCATTAGGTACTTCCTCTTTTAATCCAGATTGTGGCCCATGCAATTACAGACTGACTGCTACTACCCAATTACTGGAGTACCTCTTGGCCCAAAAACCTTCCCCTCTTTTTTATTGCCAACTTTGGGGAACGTGTCAGTGGCTCCGCCAGAAGAGAATAAGAAGGGGAAGATTACAGCCCGTTGACAAGGCTCCAGAGTTGGGATTAATCAATTGCTCTGCAATTATCGGGGGTCTGAAACGGATTGGAAGAGTGGGCAGGGAGCAGGGGGCAGGCGGTGTATAAACAGGAACCCATCAGGCCGTACAAAGCCTAATGGCCATAATGAATGGATTAAGCCAGCATTTACGCAAACGCGTTGATATTTCCTCTGACCAAACAAAATATAAATCGAGCCAACTACATGGGACCTGTCTCAAAGCTGGGCTCCTTCAACGGGGCAGGATCGGACGGGGAGAAGCTAACAATTTGCATGATCTTGCCTCTTTCTTACCCCGGCCTGCATCTTGGCATCTACTTAATTTCAAGTTGTCCGCGGAAAAACTTAAGCATATTTAACCGCATGTCGCTGATTTTAATGGCGCGTTGGGCCAAAGAGAGAGAGAGAGAGAGGAGTCTATATGTATATAGAGGGTTAAGATTTGATGGAGGGGCGGCTCGGCAAGCGGGGCTCTTGAGCTTGTTCTCCAGTCTCATTTCGTGGCGACGCTCACGCATATTCCGCATATGCAGACGACGCACGACGGGATGCAGGCGCCACTTGGTCAGCAAACAGAGTCAGTTGGTAAGATCAGGGGGCAACGACGCGCTCCCGGGGTTTGGGGAGTCTGGGGGTCTCGGGGTCTCCGGTACTGTAGCTGGTCAGTAGAAAGGGGGGCCGGCCAGTAGAGGGCTAATGTCAGGTAAATGTTAACCGCGGAATGCCATTGCCCTCTTTGCAGCCAGCTGACCTTTGCACATGCCACCGATTCTTGTATCTGAAAAGGTTAGGCAAGGGATTAATCAGCAGAATCAGGAGCATATATAATATATGCTATATGCTATATATATACATATATGTATGCCCTGCACAAGCGCCAGCGGTTGTCTTCATCAAAAAAGGCCTGTCAACGGGGCCATCATATCGAATGACAAACTCGAGTGCACAATAAGAAAGGCTTAACCAGCCGACGAGAAATGACAGTGACCGGGGAGGATGAAAGAAGAGAAGAGGTAGGAAAATATAAGAAAAGGTTATATATCTACGGGATTATCAGAGCTTCGAGCAGCTCAATCGGAAAATGATCGATGAGCGATCGTGGCAAGGTGCATCTCTGTTTGGCCTAATTAAGCCCATCCTCCACGCCATTCATTTTGAAGCCACGAGTTCGGGGGAAATGTCAATGGTCGAAAGGTTTCATTGAGGTAACCCGATGATACACTCGTTGAAAACTAAGGTAATCCAAGCTACGATCGTGTGTGGCTTCTAGGAATACATTTTTAAGAGCTTTCGGCATGATATCTTATCTGGGATATTATGTAACAAACTCGTATCAGTAGAAGATTGAAACACGCGTATATCATTTCAGATCTACGACTTGAGTGGGCTTAATTGGAAGTGAAGACTTATCCATTTCTATTAACCTTCTGTTTTAGGCAGATTCCAAGAAGGAATTCCTTAAATATCCTTTTTTTAAGAAGAAAATAATGTTTTCCTTCTTTAAAATACATTTTTTTTAAAGATAAAACTCCCTTTTAACAGGTCAAAAAATAATTACTTACTCCCCCGGTTAGTAAGTTTCGACTTGGCTATATCTTCTCCTTTCATCTGCTGGACTCTGAATCTCCGGATAAATGAACATGTCCCCGTCAAAGTGTCGCCCGTGCGAAAGCGCCACGAAGGGGCTGGAACGGAAGGGGGAAAGGGGTTCAGCTAAATAGGGAAGCAAGGAAGGGAAACGAGGATGGGGGTCAGAGTGTCGTGTAGGAGCGAACAGCAGCTGCTGGACATCGTTTCCCAGGCAAGGGAATGCCAGCCAGGGTAAAAAGCAGGAGGAGATCACGAGGGAAGGGATGTTGATGCCAGCGATTGCAATCTCTGTGCTGCAGTTGTCGCTTCTGTTTCTGTTTTTTTTTTCGGTTTCTGGTGGTGCTGTTGCTCCTCCTGTTCCTCCATAGCCTCCTTTTTCCTCCTGTTTCTTCTTAATTTTCCGCCATTTGCTCATTTTGGCACAGAACCACAAAGCGTATGTGTAGTTACAGAGAAAGAAAAACCAGTAGAGTAGTCAAGATATATAGTTTAAGATCCTTATTTCAAAAGATTATTAAGGATAAGAAGGTAATTTGTAGAAATAATTAATCAGCAGTGTAAGAAAGTGTCTTAGTGTGGGAAAAAAGTAGTCCTAATAAGAAAAGCTACCAATTTCTTACCGTGCAGATGCAGGGAGGGATTGAAGGTGGAGATCTCGTGCATCTGATAAACTCAGCCTCCCGATGAAGTCGTTTTTTTTTTTTGGGAACCTCAAGAAAGGGCGACACAACATACACAATTTAATTAAAGACTCGACTACCGGATCGGATTGGATCGAAAAACTATCGGCGATCGATCGGCGATCGCTGACACGCATAAATCCTGCACATCGATGCTATTGATCGCCGATATCGGTTCGAAGATGGTACCTTTTTACGGACCTCTCGATCTGACCTTGGCACTCACTAATGAAGATCTCGAAACGCCGCTCCTGCGGCTGTTGCATAATTCATTTCCAATTTATACGCCATAAAAGCGATAATGGCCGCAATTAAGTTCGTGTTCCTTTGATAATTTTCCACATTTACGCGGCCATTAAAATGATTCCCAACGCATTTTTCAGACCCTCCCTATCAGGTCGCCTCATTTCCATTTCCCATCCACACTACCCTGGACAGGCTCCATTCTACGCTTATCTCGTAGCGCGAAGAAAAAGAGAGATGGGAAATGTATCTACTAAAGGGAATTGGGTATATAGTATAGTATAGTATAGTATAGTGTAGTCTAGTCCGACCCCGAGGTGTTAATTAGCATTATCTTAATGCACGTTCCGGCACACAGTTCAAATTGAATTATACATAATAATTTGTCCGCCGCTCTTTAAAGTGCAACTTAATGTTCGACTGGACAGGCCATCTCCATCTCCATCTCCGTCTCCATTTCGTGGAGCGCCCCTTTGCCCTCTGGAGGGGTAAGTGGTGACCCCACCCTGAACGAACCGCAAATATGGTGGAGTGGACTCGAGTGGAATGGAGTCCGGCGAGCTCGTGTTAAGCGCTCATTAATCACATTAGATATGCATTAATTCGGTAAGGAATTCAATGGCGTGTAGACGAGAGCGAGAAGGCGACAGTTTGTGTGGGGGGAAGGAGGTAGATAAATAGATACTTCTTTGGCGGGAATGAAGGAACCATTTCTTTCAGGATATACTTTGGGTTACGTTGAATTTAACTATAAAAACTACTTCCTTATAAGGTTTTTAGTGAGACATAGGAGTTTTGAAGGCTATTGGCTTTAAGTACAGATTATGTTTAACTTATCCCACCTTATACCTTAGCTTTACTAAAAACCTATCTAAATCTGAATTTCTAGAGTTCATAACTCTACTAAATCAGCTCGGAGTTCAAAAAGGAATACTTCTATAAGTTTGCGTTTTAAATATCTACAAAATTGTTTTCAAGTTCTGACATTTCCTCGAAAATAATATTTTTTCGATTTTTGGTTATTTTGACGATGTAATCCCTGTCAAAAATTTTCAAAAAATAGATAACAAATTATAAATTTAGTTTTTTTCCCTCCGATGTAAGTACTCAATGAGCTGAGTCTTGGAAGGTCTCACATTCCGTATTACTGCCATTATTAACCTATTTATCAGGTGCTGAAGTTGTAACCTTAAACTTCCTAAATTTTCATCTTTATACTATCTTTTCTCTTATATTTATGTTACTACTTTCTTACAATGTAAACAAATCGATTTTTATAATCCCTGCTCTTGGGTTTATATATACCTTTTAGACTGTCTGGAATATTGGAGTTTTCCTGGGGACCCCAACTCCATAAAACTCCCTTCCATCTCGAAAAACCCCAACAATACTCCAATAACTCATTCAGTCCACCGTTTCCACCCACCACAAAGGCAACAAACACCCCAAAGAGCCAAGAAAACAAACAAACAAATGAGAGAAATACATTGTATGGGTGAGTATCTGTGTGAGTGGTAATGCCTAGCTGGGAATGTCTGTGTGAGAGAGTGCCAAAGAGGGCGGAGCTAAACAAAGGGTGGCTTAAAAGCCGGGTTTATCTACATGGATATAACTATAAAATAAACTATAGCCAAAGATCTGCAGTGTTTCTTTATGTTACTTTATGTTTCTGTTTGTTTTTGTAATTATAGTTATAAAGAGAGAGAGAGCGAGCGAGCCACAGCCATGATGTGTTGGGGAAGCAAAGCAGAGTGAGTGAGAAAGTGCGCACATTTAAAGAGCGTGTGGCTAGGGCTGTCTCACTTGCACTCAAAAAGTGGAGCCCATCCAGGCAGAGACGTTAGCCGAGGCAGCGTCGCTAACAGAGGCAGAGGCAGCGGGACTTTTCTTGCGGTGCGCCCGCCATTCGAAATCAGTCAATGTTGAGTTGACGGCGCGAGAAGACGCGGGCGAAAGAGAGCGGAGAATTTGAAGAATTAAAGAATCTAAGAATTCAAGAAAAAGAATCAGAACTGAAGAAATCTAAAGTCCCGTCGCTGTGCCGTTTAGCTGAATTAAAAATTAACAAATATCTTTAAAAAAAAAAACAAGATTCAAATTTTAAAGAATCACAAAAAAATAAGAAAGAAAAGAACCAAAGCCGTCGCTGTGCCGTTATATTACTTATTGTTTTTTGTGTGTGACTGACTACATGTGTGCCTCCTAGGTAATGAGTGAAGTTGGGTGTCGTTCCAACTGCAGAGACTAAAGACTTTGGGCGCCAACCAAAAGCCCCGCTGTATAGAGAATGCTGGTGCCGTCGGACATGATTGCGGCGCAGTCCAAGATGGTCTACCAGATGAACAAGTATTGTGCGGACCGCGTCCAAGTGCGCAAGGCCCAGATCCACAAGCAAATCCAGGAGGTCTGCCGGATCGTTCAGGATGTCCTCAAAGAGGTGGAGGTCCAGGAGCCGCGATTCATTTCCTCGCTAAACGACTATAATGGTCGGTTCGAGGGTCTGGAGGTTATATCGCCCACGGAATTCGAGATCATCATCTATCTGAACCAAATGGGTGTACTCAACTTTGTGGACGATGGAACGCTGCCGGGCTGTGCTGTCTTAAAGCTGAGCGATGGCAGAAAGCGATCCATGTCACTGTGGGTGGAGTTCATCACGGCCAGTGGTTATCTCTCAGCCCGCAAGATTCGATCTAGGTTCCAAACTTTGGTGGCCCAAGCCTGCGATAAGTGTGCCTATCGCGACATCGTCAAGATGATTGCCGACACCACGGAGGTGAAACTGCGCATCCGGGAGCGTATCATTGTCCAGATCACGCCCGCCTTCAAATGCGCCGGCCTTTGGCCAAGATCTGCCTCACATTGGCCTTTGCCGGGCATACCCTGGCCGCATCCCAATATCGTAGCCGAGGTTAAAACGGAGGGTTTCGATATGCTTTCTAAGGAGTGCATCGCTCTGCAGGGTAAAAACTCGGCCATGGAGGGCGATGCCTGGGTACTCAGCTTCACCGACGCCGAAAACAGGCTGCTGCAAGGTGAGTTTGCCGTCGGAAAACTTTAACTTGTCGTTTTGCAGTCTTAATGGGGTGTTTTGGGGTTTTTTATATAGAACCTTTACAACAGCTTTATCTAGAAGGTTTTTATAAACTGTATCGTTAAGAAGCTTTATGCAGTTTAATAGTACAGCTATTATAGAATAGCGATAATGACTTATCAAAGTGACAATGACATTCAAGTTTTTCTATATCATAATATTTGGCAGAAATCTAGACGAAGAAGTACCTAAATGACTGATCCACTTATTTAGCCATCTTAAAAGCTTTTTAAGGTTAACAAAAGTCAAGGATTACCCTAGATTTTATGTAGTACTTCTAAAAAATTGCAGCTTTAGAACATTTTTATCCAATTTGTAATGTATTTTTTCATACAAGTAGATACCAGCCTTTGAAGATATGAATACTCTTTATCAAATTCATGATGAGATTTGACTAAAAAGGGTAAAACATATTCAAACAACATTAAACATTATTACCAGAACCACTATTCAAATACGTCTTGCCCCCAAACCGATAAGTAATGAAGGTACTTGATTTAAGAACTATTTCTCTCAGTGGCCTGTGAGTGGCTACCATAATTTGGGCATGTTTTCGTAGTGCCTCCAGTGTCCCCCCAATCAGTAATCAGTGACACACTTAAACTGAATTGATTTATTCCCATCAAATCAGCGACTTCGTCTTGATACGCCCGTAATTGGTTGTAAATTAACCGTCAAACGGGGGACATCGTATAAATTTGAAGATCGTTGAGATAGATCGGAAACAAAGGAGTTTGGGGAACTTCCATTTCGGGGTAAAGATTTCCAGAAACTCATTGAATGGATTTATTAAAGAAAAGAACTCTTGTTTTTCCTATCACTAACTCTCTAGAGAGTAGAGACAAAAAATCCTTGTAAACTTAAAAATATTTCCCTTACGAATTTATACAACATTCTACAGAAAGGAGGGATCTTTGAATTGTTTTAACAAGGATCACCCAACCTTTATAACTAACTTTTCATAAATCTTCAGCTTATTAACTTTCAACTTAAGAAACTAAGAAAAATCACTTTCCATTCATCAGCATCTCTTGAAATCCTTGCAAATCGACAAACAAGATCGTCACACTCACCTCGCAGCGATGTCACGTGGAATCTGCATAGCTAGGCGGAAAATTGCACCACAGATTCAATTAGGCAGGGCGATAAGATGGCTGGCGATTAGTGGGGGACCCACTCATTGACTCCACGACGACTGCCCAACGAGACATCCGATTATCGGGCTCAGATATGATATGAGATACGAGCCAGCGTCGCCTGGTTGGCTACGATCATAAATCTGATGTTCGATCGAAGGGGGGAGTCTTCAGGTCTTCAGCTCTTCAGCTCTCCAGGTCTTTTGGTTTCTCAGTTTCTTAGTTTTTCTTCTGTTTTTTTCTTGTTGGCAGCGCGACAACGCACACAAATCTGCTGATCCCCGAGAGATAAGCGCAGTCTCGGTAGTCGTAGACTCAAGGCAGTTAGACGGTTAGTTGGTCGGACTACAGACTACAGACTACAGACAACAGACCAGTGACTACAGAGCTACGGGAAACGGGTTTCCATATGAACAATGCCAATGGCTGGGCCATAAATAAATTTCTAAACGATTTTATAAATATTTTAAATCTCGGCGATTAGATAAAGTCAACAAATAAATAAAACAACAGCGGGCCAAGCATGAGATGACACACGGAAAAAAAGGCAGAAGAAAAAAAAAAACAGAGAGAAAGATTGGGTTGTTGGGGAAGCGAAAAGCTGAGAGCCAAAGCCAAAGCAAAACAAAAACAAAAAGAAAAAACTGAAACCCAAATCGAAATCAATTCTAAGGCCCCTGACAACGATCTCTGATCGATATTGATCCGGCTGGTTCCCCCGCGTGTTTGTCATTTAATTTAATGCTCGAAACTAAAACTGAAACTGAAACTGAAACCGAAACCCAGATTCAGACTCAGTCTCTGAATGTGACTAACTTTCCTGGCTTGGCTTTTGAGTGGATAAGGTATTAAGGTGTATTATCTATATCGCCGATAGGGTTCGTGACTATAATTAGCACTGTCACTTGCAGCTCCAAATTAACGTCCACTTGACATGGACTTCGAGTGCTGGTCCGATCTCCTTAGCCCCTTGCGAGTGCCAATATTGTGGCAATATCGTTCAATATTGATTAGCCAACGAAAATGTGAAACGGAACCCCGGAGCAAGCGGAATCCGGAGCGGGAAAAAGCCGTAGACGTGATTATCGGACCGGAGCCGAGATTAGCCTGCCTGACATCGTGCCAACGTAGCCATGATTTATGTGCTCCAACGCACTCGGGCCATAATAAATTAAGAATCGGTTCGACTATATACCTGTACGTCCGCCCCTCCCAAGGAGGAGGAATCGAATCCAGAATATAAGTACAATATTATATATAGTTGATCAATCAAAGTCGAGGGGTTGAAGAGGAAACAAGAGGGTTATGGGTTGCTCTTGGGGAAGTTATCACAAAAATGATACATTTTAAGTATTAGATGCATTATTAAGTATATATCTTATATATTGCTTAGTCCATCTCGGTTGGGAGCTAGTCACTTGAGTCATAAAAACTAATCACAAAGTAGTCTTGTATTTGCATATCTATAAGCTCTTAGTTTATATCAGTACAAAGTGGTATAAAAATAAAACTTTCTGAAGTAGCCAAAACACTCGATGTACTTGAGATAGAAAGAGTTCTAATGACCAAAGCCATCGATCAGTTAGTTTATCTAACAAAAATGAAAACTCTGTCAAAATCATTTCAACTCAATAGCATCGATAGCATCAGATGGACAGAATGATGCATTGAGCCAAAGTTCTTTGAAAAAACCCCTTGTAAATCCTTAAAAACAAAGGCATACGCAACTTTCTATAAATCCAATCTTTACTATAGTTTTTAAAGAACTGAGTATGATCGGCATAAAGTATTCTAAAATTGAAAAACTGTGATAGGTTTTACAGAGACTTGCAAGTATTACCCCCTAAACCTTCAACCTAATTACTACTTTCCAATAATAATACCTTGTCATTTCTTGATCTCAATTCCAGGAGCCAGTCGACGACGGTGTCTCAGCATTCTGAAGACCCTGCGAGATCGGCACTTGGACCTGCCCGGCAACCCGGTGACGTCGTACCACCTAAAGACCCTGCTGCTCTACGAGTGCGAGAAGCATCCCCGCGAGATGGAATGGGAGGAGAACTGCATCGCAGACCGGATCAATGGGATCTTTCTGCAGCTAATATCCTGCCTGCAGTGCCGCCGTTGTCCGCACTACTTCCTGCCCAATATGGATTTGTTCAAGGGCAAGTCGCCGGGTGCCCTGGAAAATGCCGCCAAGCAAGTTTGGCGGTTAACCCGGATCATGCTGACCAATGTCCGTTGTCTGGAGGAGCTCTAGGCATCTATATATACTATATACTATATAGACCCTTTGGATCTTTGGAAGTTGCTGCTGCTGGGGGGAAATAACAGGCAGCTAACCGCCGCTGGGTCTTAAATTTTTTTATTCGCCTTTTTGTTTTTTTTTTACTAAATTGTTTTTTTTTTTCTAAACTAAAGACAAAGGATCTGAAGGATCAGAAAAGGCGAGGGGAGGGATCGAAGAAGAACGGAAGAGAGAGAGGGAGAGAAGTGAAATTGTAACCCAAATACTATTTGATATTTCGCTAGATCGTAACTTAAGTTTAGGTGCTTTCGAAAAGTATACGCCGCTTACAGAGTTTCCTATAATTAGAGCATACTTAGTGTTATCCATTTAGATCGTCATCGTCGCATAACGCACAAAAGTTATCATCTAGATATATACGTTTTTTTTTTCTATTCAATAATAAATATTTTGGGCCCGTTTGCTAATAGCAAGGTGCAGAGCAAAATTAGCGAAATTAGAGAAGTAAGTTCAAACTGAAACTGAGACAGCCGAATGGAGGAATATTTTCACCGTCGGTCCTAAATTATTTATTCTATGTTTTTGCCTTCTTCTTGTGAGTTTAGTCAATAAAACGTAAGTTTTTCAATGAAAATAACAATGTTACTTAATGGGTGGTAGATTACTTAAAAATCTTGGTAATTCGTTTACTTAAATTCAGTCATCGTCTAGTTATTGGTTATTCGTAATAATAGCCTCTTTATATAGCCATTTTCGGTATGCGGAATATCTGTCAGAGCTGCCAACTTCTCGAGGGTCTCGTCTGTCGATCATCGGTTGTGGCCTTTTGATGTCTTGCCGGTTATATTGATAGGCCACGATTTCAACTTCAATTTCGTTTCGATTTCAACGTTCGGCCTGTGGAAAATGTCAGAGACTGACATTTGGTCCGCTGCCGACAGGTTGTGCATTTTAATTGCGAATTAACAGCGATTCCGCGGACAGCTAACAATCCCAATAAACTATACACACTGCCACGCCCACTGCCACCGCCTACGCCATCAAAAGACCTGACTCAGAAGAAGATATATATATATGTTATTTACAATATCCACAACTAGCCAATTGATACAACATTTTGGTCACGTGTCTGTTTCGGTTTCGAGCGACAGACATAACATTCAAATTAAACTTTATGTCATTCATAAATTAAATAATTTAACTTTTTACCCTGTTTTGGCTTTTTTTTTTTTGTTTTTGGTTTTTGTTTTTTGAAGTAACTTCTTCTGTTTCAGCCTTTTGGCAGTCGACTGTCCACTTTTGCGGCTTTCCATTATTTTTAGCCTTAATTTATACTTTATTGCGGCCAAGTTGATTTATGCATGTGCGGCTTTTGTATTTTATAGTTGTAAATTACCCTGCAAATGACAATTGCAGAGGCGACACAAAAGTTATGCTAAATGGAGGGTAGTCGCACCAGTTAATACCCTTAAAGAGGGAATTTCAACGGGACCTTTTAAGCCCTATTAATCTCCTTAAAGTCTAAAGACCCCAAAGAGTTAAAGAAAGTCTCTAAAATTTGATTTCCTTTAACCTCATATATATCACATTCAGCTCAACACAACGGATCGTATTTATATATTCATGTGGGCGATTTTGGTTATGGCCATTTATGCCGGCGGTGATTTTGGGCCAACTCGATTGGATTAAATTCGATTCAAATCGGTTTTATTTGGACGCTTTGAATCGGGTTGTTAACCGCCTAGTTGCGCTTTTAATGAGTTGTGTTTTATTGGATTTGATTTGCATTTTAATGTGGCTCTTTGTTAAATTTATTATTTGTTGTTGACGCACTGACGTTGTTTCTGTTTTTTTTTTTTTTTACTTATTTCATTGAGACAAAAAGAGAAGAGCGTATTCGATTGATCTGCCGCTTCCCACACAAATTAAACCATAATTAATAAATGATAATTTTGAGATGAACCCCTTGCTCCCTCCTCCAGCCTCTTTGAGCCGCAAGCTTCCTGATTGTCGTTCGCGCTGATTGCTGTCATCATCCAATGAGTTCCATTTCCATGCAATTTATATACATTTTAATGGCCGCAAAGGCAAATTTTATGAACATCTCATAATCGCATTTTAAACACACAATTTGTTATAACCCCTTCGCCTGTCACCCACTCGAAAATGTCACCCATTCCCCTGGCCAACATATACGTATATATGGCAAAGTAATTAAAAATGTTCATTTTTATTTCCACACCAATTTGCAAGCATTAATAATACTTCCAGCCGCAAAATATATTATTTTTGATCTTTCTTTGGCAGGAATTTAATGGAAAAAGTTGAAGACAAATCAAAGTAAACGTCCCTTTAGTATCAAATTCAGCAGAAAATTCCTAAAAATCCCTTGACTAATCAAGCAGACAATCCACAATTATTATTTCTTTAAAAATCAATTGGTGCGTGCAAGGCATTTCGCACATCATTGCGTGACAAATCGGCGGAAGATACAAATATATATATATATACCAGTTAAATCTGGCGCTGATCTCGAGGACCTTCTGCACTTGGATTGACCATGATTTCCGACTGCCTGTCAGCCAGCATGTTGGGGTAATCCCCCCTACTCTTGATCCTACTCCTCCTGAAATTCTCAACTTTCTGGCAAATCAAAACAAATGTTTTATTTAAATGGTTAATTTGATCGGGGCCAGAGCATCTGTGCCGGCTTGTTGGCGATGGCCAAATGAGCAGCTTACAAGGAGATGATGAGGTTGAGCTACACAAATGGCTGCCAAATCGTGAGAATTGCATTTGGAATGCCACCAACCAAAGTGGATTGGATACGGTCGGGGTTGGACACGGACTTGGACTGTAGGGATCTTGAATCTTGGTTCTTCATTCTTGATTCTTGGGGGCACCTGGCAGGGGATTTTAATTTGCTGGCTTCAATCAAACTGCAGCAAAGTCAGCAGGATGAGGCGGAGGCAGTGCATTAAACCCGCAAATATGTTGCAACTTGGGATGAGCTGGCGGTGGATGCACTTGACAAAATTTCCAAAAAATTGTTTAAAGAAGACTAAACTTCTCAGAAGATCTGCATTGAAAATACATTTTTCAGTTTTTGGTTGATTTTTCGTCATTGTTCTGAAATTTTATAAAAATCCATAAAAAATGACTTTTGTAGTTTTGTTTACAGATTGAAATAACTACTTAAACTGAACTCTAAAAGGTATAAAATTTGTCGATCTGACCTTTTTTAACCAACTCATGATCTGTCAAAGATGGACAAAGGTGATCTTTCTTAGCATTTCGATTCCTAACCTTCTAAAGAGAAGATATAGTACATTATATTCCCTAACTATTATATTCCCTATCTATTATATTCTTTAAACAAAATGTTTCCAGTGCATAATTGTGCTTCTGCAGCGTGGATCACGCGAAGTTAAGTTGCGTGAAGGTCGGTAGGGAGGATGAGGATCGGGATGTGGATGTGGATGAGGGCGACGACGGCGCTTGCCACTTAGCATAAACGGAAGACAGGGACCCAGTAGAAGTAGTAGAAGACCCAGTCCCAGTTTCAGATCCACATCCAGTACCAAGACCAAGTCGAAGGCGAAGGCAAAGTCGAAGTGAGCCACGACCTGTGTGGCCGCTGCATCAGGGTAACAAGCTGTAATTAGAGCCTCTTAGCCTGTCATCGCCAGCGTGCTTGATTATAGCCTTTTGACAAAAAGTAAATATTAATTTAATACGTCCGAGGGAGCGAGGAAGCGAGCGATCGCCTCCGGGCAGCCTCCCCACCTCGAAAGTCCCAGTATTGGGGGTCTGGAACTGGAGGACTTGCACATGGAACTCCAGCATACAGAGAGACTCCTCCCTTTTTTGGCTGATAAATTTCACCTGAGCTGGAGGTTTTACATTTACAGGTGATGGTAAACAGAATCCGAGGACCTTGTTGCCGACGAAAAGGTCATTTCGGAATATTTACAGTTTTAGGAGTTAAACAATGAGAAGATATGTGTAGAACAGGGCCGGGACTATATGAAACCCGTTAATCAGCGAATTACTTTCAAATCAACATTGCCCTGCTCGTCTTATGTCTTCTATACTAAAATCTACTAATCGCCAAACATAAATAATTTCGTTTTCCTTAAATATAATAAATAACAATGGAAAATAAATAGATTTAACTTCAACTTACCTTTATTTTGCATATTATTCCAGCTTCTAATTGGGACACATGCCTTCTCTTTCATCTCATTTCATTTTTGCTTTGTTTACTTCTGAAATGTACAAATGTCTGTATTTATGTATACAGAATTTGCATACATACTTACACGGATTTGGTGACGCGCACACATACACTTTTACTTACGCAGCGGAGCACCCTTTGCACTTTAGCATAAAAAACACATAAATTTGTAATTAAAACACTTTAAATTGCACAAACTTCATAACGCACACTTGCGATCACTTCTTATGTATCGATTTAAGCTATTTGTAACAATTTTTAACACTTTTTTATAAGGAAATGCAATATTTAAGTGTAATTTAATGCAGAGCAACTTCTTAAGAAAGACAACTGTAAAACTGAGAAAGAGAGACTGAGGCAGACGTCAAAGAGAGGATTGCGGCTAACACAGCTGTTCCAAAGCTTTCCGTTAGGCTTCCTCTTTCTCATTTGTTCCTCTCTCTTGTTTGGCAAAGCATTGAAACCGTTTTAATTAGAAAGCTTTAATTACAGGTGCAATATCGTTTAAAGAAAGAAAAGCTAATTAAGATTGCCACACACACCAATTTTGTACCCACTCATTTTCCCACCCGTTTCTCATAATTTAAATTAGCTAGCAGCGACAATTTCTTGGAAATCATATCAAATGCATTGCATTTATCGATCCAACTAATCCAGCTATCAATTAACATACAGAGCAGGGGTCCCCCAAAAACAAACTGAAAAGAAAAAGAAAACCAACCCGCTTCCAAGTTACCATATACCATAAACCGTATATACCACTTACCAGTCATCCAGTTCTTAAAGACAGCAGCTCACGTCGTCGGGTTGGCATCGTCATACGCCCTTTTTATTTTGGCCCAAAAACAATGGGTTCAAACGGCTGCGCTTCAGCGGAAAACAAAAAGCGGCCCTAAATCAATCACAACCGGCGACATGTCAACAGTCATGGTGATCGGGCTGGGGGGATATTCGATGGAAATGGAAATGGAGACGCTGATCAGGGAGGGGTATCTAGTGGGGAGGATGAACTCCCGCGTCCAGGCGAAAATGTCAACGTGATCGTGGCATCTTGACAAAGGCCGCCGCCACCGCCGCCGCCGTCGTCGTCACCGTCTCGCATATATTGGCCATCCATATATCTGGCCAAGAAGCCAAAGGGCCTTGGAATGGGTAGGGATACCCCAGAGTCCGGAACGTGGCCACATTTTCGGCCTCTGTGTGCGCGTGATATCTGAACTACGAAATTGAGATCGATTCCCAAGTACGTGTCTGAAATGAGAATTTGCCCAGAGGCGATCCCTTGCCTCCGTTGTAACGATAAATTATGATATTATTTGAAATTAATGTTAAGTAAAATGACATCAGTGGGCCCTCAGTTGGCCCAAGTGGCGTGCACTTGTCGATGGCTGGAAGTAAACAAAACAAAAAAAAAAAAACCCACAGATCTTGCCACATATCAGCTGCATTCGTCACAATTAATATTCCAATCAGATGATGAAGGAACACATGTCCGCAAGTAGGCGATGCCGAAGTCGATGTCGATGTCCCAGTCCATTTTGCGATGGATCGGACACTGAAATAAAAAAAAAAAAAAAACAGGGTATTAAAGAGCCATATGGTTAACGGATATAAATGGTTTTTAGCGAATCTTCGAGGGTGGTCAGTCCATAACATAGCTGATCTTCATAATCTGCATCCATAGCTGTATGTTAGGCAAAGATCTGATAACTAAAGTAGATTGTATCGATTAGATATTTTTAACATAGCCAGTTTTTTAAGTAAAAAAAGACCAACCTTTTTTCTTCCAGTGCAGTAGTGAGCTTCGAGCCTTGGGCGGCGGTGGCGCATGCGCAATGAGTGCAGGAGAAAAAAGCAAACCAAATGGCTCTTGCGAAGTATGGAGAATCGATGATGAGAGGATGCACTCTTCACTCGCGGATCGTGTCGCTGATTTGTTCGCTGTCATAATTCAATAAAGTAGTCAAATGTCAGACGGACTTAAGCAAAAACCAGCGGTCCGTCATCATCTGAAGTTCCACCGATCTCCCGACTGTCCCGGCTGTTTCCCAATCCTCCAGTTAAGAGCCACCACACACACACGCACACGCACCAGCGCCGGGTTAATGGCCATAAACGCAAATCCGCTTAGCACTGCACCAGGATGAAGGATAGTCGATCGAAGATGGTGGCTTGGGGCCACCAAGAGCCACTTGCAGCTTGGAGTGGATTGACACTGGCTGCTTATTAATTCATCACACGCCTCTGGTTTGCGTTGACATGCGATGGGAATGGCAGCGACCAAAACCATTGAACAAATTGGGAATTATAAAGCGATTTAGGGTATGGATTTCGAAATTATAAATAATAATCCATTCCCAAGATGGGAGCTTCAAAGGAGCTGGTGATTATAGATATATAGTTATGAGAAGTATCCATAAATATTTTTAAATAGATACGATATTAAAGGATACCATATCTATTCACTATCCAATCTAGCTTAGCTAGTTTCTTAGATCTAGATACATGATCTTATAGACTGACTCTAGCTTGTCTTACGTTTTTTTTCCCAGAATTGCTAAGCCCAACTCAGCTGGACAGCCTGATATATGTATATGTGCCGGCGGAATAAACGACGGGGCGATGATCGTTGGCATAAGGGACGTGGATGGGATCAGAATCGGATCGGGATGGTATAAGATTGGATGGGTATAAAGACCCATACCCAAACTCAAACCCAAACTAAGGGAACTAAAACAAAAGAGACGATGACGCGACAACGAAGGAGCAGAGCTGGCGGAGCAGCGAGAAGACAAACGTGGCGGCGACAACGGAGCAAGTGACAAACGTTTAGATGGATGGATCGTTCTTCATTTCGGGGGAACGAGATCGAGATCGGGAATGGGAACGGGAACGGGAACGGTAACCGGACTTTAAGAACAGGCGGTCGGTTGGTCGGTCGGTCAGCCAGCGAGCGGGCAAAATAAACCGAACCAACCGAAAAAAAAAAAAGCGACGATTGCACATAAATTATATTCAAATTTCTTCGAGAGATCTAAGAGATATATAAAAATACGGGAAAAACACACACGGCACATGCACATGAATGGTCGGCGACCCCGACACCAACGATCCTTTCTGTGTGTGTTTCTGTTTTCCAACCCAAAAACCACAACTACAAAAAAAAAAAGTGTAGTTCTCCTTGTTATTGTAAAATATTTTTGTGTTGTTTAAATTTATGCAGATATGCGCCCATCTAGATAGGAGTACGAGTGCCACCTCCACTATCTGTTTACGTAGAAATCCAGCGCGCCAAAAATCAGCCAAGTTTCATGGAGCAGCACCTGGCATCGTCTGTCCCTTTTAGAGACCAATCCAATCGCATCCCATTCATTGGGGCTCCATTAAAATTCAGCTGACAGCTTCGATTCACGTCGCCAACAAATTGAAATGGGCTGAATACTATTTAGATACGGCTAGATCTTCTCAAACTGCCACTGATTGATGTCAATAAAGCTGAACAAAAGACTTAACAGGCACTAGAAGATACAGTGGTCATTGGGTAAGTGGCAAAGAAATCTAGATATATCTTCCTTTATATTTTAAAAATTAAAATGAAGACAATAAATATATTTAATAGATTCTGAAACCTAAAGGATTAATTTTGATAAACTTGTTATTAATAAAAAAAATAAATTTTGGTTAGTTTTAAAAACTTTTCTGCAAGTTAAATATTTTTAATGAACATTTCTTGTACGACAGCTTCAGCATTTCCCAGAAAACTAAGTACTATAGTACTATATATCTTCAGATACTTCCGTCACCATGAGATGCTTGACCCCTTTTTCCATTTCCATTTCCTTTTCTTTTTTTTTTGCGAAAAACTTGCTGGTCGTCAGCAATTGTGTTTGGTTTGTGTTTAGCCTCCACTCGAATTAGTGGCTGCGTCTGGGATTTGTCTAATTGGAGGAGGCGACGGGCGCTTTGATCTTGCCACATGTCCATCAAGTACACAATAAATATATATATCTGCTATATATATATGGTATATAAGACATACTATATATATATATAAAGGGGAGACGAAAACACGGAGGAAGTTGCTCGCTTGGAACTGCGAGGGCTGTCAGAAATTGCCAACTGGCACATTAATCCACGCGACATATTTATGAGTGTAAATGTATCTGTGTATCCGGGAGATATAAAGATATCGGCCGACGAACATGGACGAGGGTTGCTCGTGGCTCGTTGCCTTGCTCGCTGCTCTTTGCTAAATGAGTGCACATTTCAGATAAATTATTGCACACAACTTGTACGCGATGGCAGGCCAAAATGTATTTAACAAATTAAATTTACACACAGATACACACACACGCACACAGTGCAGACTTCAAAGAGGGCGCCGCAGCGTAACGGCCACTAAAATGGGCGGTCCCGTAGAGGACCAATGATATTGCGCCGCTCTCACAGATACACACAGCCAGTCAACCCCATAGATACTCACATACAGACACAAAACCAAAAGCAGAGAGTGAGAGAGCCAGTATTTGTTTTTCGTACACGGAGAAAAAAGAATTACTGAAATTTGTATACTATTTCATTAAATTTATGTTGAATTTTTATATTTTCTTACGGTAATAATATCAGTATTAAGATAGTTTACTATATCTTTCAAAGTGTCTACGATTTATGCAAGATACACCCATCTACTTTGCCATTTTCCAAATTTCCAAACATTTCAAAATCAATTTAAAATATTAATCCCAAAAGATTTCCCGCAGTGCATCTGGCAGATACGACAGATACGCTTTGCTGCGGCGGGTATCTCATCGATTTTTTAAGCGTCGGAATGCGTGGCACGAGACAGAGACCTCTGTCACGTGACAGCCCCGGCATGTATCTGTATCTTTGTATGCGACTGTGTCTGGATCCCATTCATGCCACCGAGATGGCGGATTCGTTAGATGCTAAGATACTTGAGCTAACACACTGGCATATTGAGATACTTCTCGTGCAGCCACGCAAAACTGCACTTTCAGCGCTTTTTATCTGCCGAAGCTGTAAATATCCGCGAGATTTACAACGCCAGCGAGCGTAGACTTCGATATCGTTAACAGTATCAGTATCTTTTGGCGGACTCTGACTCCGATTCGTACTCGGAATTGGCATCGTCGGTCTGGACATTGGCATCGGCATCGGTAACGGGGAGGGTATCATAGCTTTTAGCACAACGCATCTCATTCGGGTCGCGATTCGCCAATGCAGATACAGTATCTGCGGGCTTCAGCTGCATCAAAATCGGACGAGCCACAGAGTCCAGATACACATACTGGTCGGTCGTCCGGTACGGTCGTCGTGCTCCACTTGTGCCCATTGTTGCACTGCTGTCAACGTAACTCACAATTGAATTGTTCCTTTGTTCTGTCCCGGGCCAAAAAGCAACCGACCCGCTCCCGAATTTCGCATAATTGGCTGGCTTTTAAGTTGGCCGCCAGACCAAGTGTCGCCGGGAGAAAAGATACAGCTCAACAGAGATAGATATAGATATAGATACTGGAACGGTGAAGTGAGACTCAGACTTAGAATACGCTATGCTCGTGCCGCCGGACATGATGGCCGCCCAAACGCGCATGGTCTATCAGATGAACCGATTCTGCGCGGAGAGGGTTCAGGCCAGGATGTTTAAGACGGCCACTGCCATTCGTGAGATCTGTAAGATTGTCCAGGATATCCTCAAGGAAGTGGAGCTACAAGAACCGCGATTTATCTCCAGTCTGGTAGAATGTAATGGCAGGTAAAGATACTAAATAAAGTTTGATTACTTGATTACTTGATGTTTATATTAGCTCATGATATCGTAAAAACCAGCTAGGGCTATAAGCCAGGAGGTAGTGCTCAAACGATCAGATCTGTTTAGTGATCCAAACCACAGACCTTTCAACAAGTTATCTGCGTAATTCCAGTTTCCGGATGACTGTCAACGCGGCTCCTGCTCGCTCCACTAAATCCACTCCAAGCCAATCCTCGTCACTGCATTTCGATCATTACAACCAAAGTGCAGCGTCATTGTCAGTTAAATGTCAAGTCATGCTCATCGGGGCTTCCCCTTTTAAAACGACCTGCAATCGTATTCGTATCTGATTAGATTGGTTTTAACAAGAATATATATCTTTTATACTAATGAAAATCTATCAGATTTGACTTTACCTTCTAGTCTTAAAATATAAATATATTTATTACCCTTTCCAGATTCGAGGGCGTTGAGGTTATATCCCCGAATGAATTCGAGATAGTCCTGTATCTGAACCAAATGGGCGTCTTTAACTTTGTGGACGATGGCACTCTGCCGGGATGTGCTGTCTTAAAGCTAAGCGATGGCCGAAAGCGTTCCATGTCCCTGTGGGTGGAGTTCATCACGGCCAGTGGATATTTATCCTCCCGTAAGATTCGCGCCCGTTTCCAAACTCTGGTGGCCCAGGCCTGTGATAAGAGTGTCTATCGGGATATGGTCAAAATGGTGGGCGATACCAGTGAGGTAAAGTTGCGAATTCGAGAACGTTTCGTAGTCCAGATAACGCCCGCTTTCAAGTGCTCTGGGATTTGGCCAAGATCGGCGGCACACTGGCCGGTTCCCCATTTGCCCTGGCCACATCCCAATATCGTGGCGGAGGTCAAGACGGAGGGTTTCGACCTTTTGTCCAAGGAGAGCGTCGTCATGCAGAACAAGAACAATAATGCCGCCAGCATGGAGGGCGATGCCTGGGTACTAAGCTTCTTCGAGGCAGAAAATCGCCTCTTACAAGGTAAAAATCTAAGGGGAAACTCTCTTACACTTAAAGAAAAAGAAAGTTAAAATTTTAAATATGAATTTTAAAATGATTAAATACGAAATTGGAAGTTAGTCTGATAAAATTATTTTAAATTGTCGCTAAAAGTGGGAATTTTCTTGTTTTAAACTAATAAAGTTATTTTTTAGGATATTTTTTAAGAAAAACCTTCAAATAATAGACAAAAATCAATTTATTTTTGAGTGGAAGACTTTTTCTTTAAGGTTTTTTAAAGCTTATCAATGTAGGATTAAAATATATAAAAATTTCCAAAAATAAAATTTTGATAAATTTTTCAAAATTCTGTAAGGGGTACCCCTTGCCAAAAATGCAAAAATTTTTGAAAATTTTTTTCCTCCAAAATTTAAAATCTTTGAATACAGATCTCAAGTGGTCTTAATTACGGTCATAAAATGGTAATCCATTTGAGATTCTGACAATTTTCAGCTGAGTTACAAGCAAAAGATCGCGGAATTTCGAGGGTTTAAACGAAAATTTGTATTAAATATTTTTACTCACCTTCAAAGGATCAACACCAAATAACTGAGACTTAACTTACCTCTTATAGGAGGCTGTCGTCGTCGTTGCTTGAGCATGCTGAAGACCCTGAGGGACAGGCACATGGAACTCCCAGGCAATCCCATCAGTGCTTACCACCTGAAGAACCTTTTGCTTTACGAGTGCGAGAAACATCCGCGGGACTTTGAGTGGGACGAGAGCTGTATTGCGGACCGGATCAATGGGATCTTCTTGCAGCTGATCTCCTGCTTACAGTACCGTCGATGTCCACACTATTTCCTTCCGGGATTGGACATGTTCAAAGGGAAATCCCCCAGTGCTTTGGAGCAGGCAGCCAAACAGGTGTGGCGATTAACCCGCGAGCTCCTAACAAATGCCAATGCTTTTGAGAAGTTGTAAGGGGATATGGGTTGGGGTTTAAGGAATACGGTGGGTCGATATTGGTTAGGAATCATGCTTAGAACTAAATTTGGGAATAAACTGGAAAGGTTCTTTGGAGACTTTAGACCTTTTATCGTCTTAAATTTGTTTCCAAAGTAAAAGGAGAACTTTCTTGTTAGTCAAATCTTAACAAAACTCATAGAGCGATGGGCTTAATCCCTTTTTATCTTGACTTTAGTTTGTTTTCACTTATAAAGCCTTGATTTTGTATATTAGTTTTACTCTTTTATATTATAGTTATTATCTTTCAATATCACTAACTCTAACTTTTACTAATATTCACCCTAGTTAGTAACCATATTTATGAACAAAGTTCATAGAGGCAAACTACATATATTATTACCCAGTTTATGATTTTCTTAGTCAAACAAATATCGACCCATCTGACAAAGGGGGAGTGTGTGTCTGTGTGAGGTGCTAAGTCAGCCGGAGATGAAAGATAGCTCCTTGGCGGCCATTTTGTGCCATGTCCGTATGCCTGTGTTTGCGAGTGCGAAAGTGTTAATGCGGAGATGCGAGATAAGTCCACTCCCCATTCCCACTCGACTCGAGTTGAGATCTGAGATATACCATATATACCCATCCAGGCGTTCCGGCTAAGCCTCAAATATTGTTTTTAATAACTCGCCCCTCGGCGCTCACGACGCATCCTTTGTTTGCCTGGCGAACAATGGCTATGCCAATGGATTCCAAACTCCCGGATGGAACAGAAAATTGGGAAACCAAAAAAATGAGCATTTGTCCAGGCGGCGGCTTTCCTTTAACACGGAGCCACTCAACGTATACGATTGTTTCACAGTTTGCAGATCCTAGATCAAAGCAAAACGAAACACAAAAAAAACTAAAACCGAGAGAGAGAGAGAGAGAGATTCCATTGATCGTTCCAAGTCCAACTTTACATTGTTTTTTTACTACTTATATATATATACATATGTCGATGTCTATTATGGGATGCCTAACATTTACCACGATTATCCACAGTTTGTTTTAAGTACAACATAATCCTAGATTGCTTAAGTAAAAATGGAAATGCTTGAATAAATTCAAGAAGAGCCAAAGGCAACACTCCATTGATTGTTTAGTTTTTTTAAAGAGGGAAATCTGTCATTATCTTTGGGATAAAAAGAAGTATTCAAATTGTTTTTAAGATATATATATGAAAACTTGAAGAGAATACTTTAAATTTTTGCCAGGTGGAAGAAGTTTTGTATTTTAGACATTAAGTTTAAGTTTGAAAACTGATCAGGTCTGATATATTCAAATTGATTCTACAAACAGATGCCATCTCCCAGAGTTTCAAGAATTCAACATGGAAGATCCTCTGGAAGACCAAATGACAAGTCCAAAGTCTCCAAAGGATCTCCTTCGATCTCATTAGTCCCTTTAGCGAGTGAGTTAATGTTATGATTATTGGCAGTGCCGAATATTTATTTGCAATCGGCAAAGTATCTGGATCTCAGCTCTGTATCTGGGCCAGGATCGGGATCGGTATATCGAGAACTGAAGCTGGGAAGATGCAGCTGCTGCTGCTGTTGCAGCGACAACTGAGCATCACTTTTATTACCCTTATTTATGGTTATTCTCTGGCGGGGGCTGGATGCCAAAACCAAGTGGTTTGGCTGCTTTGTTCTGCGGTTCTTTTGTCTCCACTCCCCACCTTTTATTTATTTTCACTTTTTTCTCTTTTTATTTTATATATACTTATTTGCCGGAACGAAAACTTTCAGCGAATGTAATCGATATTTTCTTCGACAAAAGGTGTCTTTAAATTTGGGGAGTACGACGACGGTTCAGCGGTACAGCGGGAAAAATAATCAGCGTCAGCACAAAGAGGCGGCTGGCTGGCTGGTCCAAGGATATAGAATATAATGCGTTGGCCAAAAATAACAAATTATGCCATGGCACGCAGGGATCATGTTACGTGGCCCTCCATCACTGGAAGTAACCCCTATGGGTGGGTGGTTTTGGTCCTGGGAAAACCATCATCAGGTGACCGAATCCATAGCCGAATGCGAATCCTCATCCGCGACTAGGATGCGCACTTGGCCGCCAGCGAAAGGGACACGTGGCGCGTCCTTGTTTTTCTTGGTTTGGGTGGAAAATGGTTTTTTGTGGAAAATTCAGAAGCAGCCAGCAGTGGCCCCGCATCGATAAGGCACGATTCTCATTTCTCTGCTGACAAATGGTATTTGAAATGCTATTAAACGGGGAGACCAGCTATATCAGAGTACCAGTATCCGTGACGCCGCAACACCTGCCCCATTCACATACCCATTCCCAGAGTTCCATTCCTAAAATCATCCCAAATACCAGTTACCAATACCAAACCCAATCCGAAGAAGCCTTTTCATTTGGCTTGGGCTGTCACAACTTTGGCAAAGCCACAAAAAATATTGTCGCCTTTCGCTCTTTGATTTGAGCTTCTATGTGAATACCCTGGAATGTTAGGGGTATGCTCCTTACAAGGATTTTAAGAGCAAACCTGGATAAGTTCTAGTTAAGGATTCTGCTGGAGATATCATCTAGTAGATGGGAAAAGTCGTCTCTCATCTGAAGGATACAGAAAAACTTACTTTTGCTTTAAAACATGAATAGAAAATGATTTATCAAGGAAACTTCTTAATAAATAATAACTATTTTAGTAAGAAAAAAAACTAAAAAATTATAAGAATTCCTAAAAAACAATAATAACCTGATATATCCTTAACAAAAGGATGTCTAGGATATCCCAAGTACGACTATCTCCACTCAGACTTCTCTTATTTTGTGTTTTGCTTTTCCTGTTGACATTTATACGCACCCGCCCTCCAGTTTTCGTAGCTCCTGACTTCTCAAGTCCCTCTCTGCCGAAATCCTGCCACGCCCTCAGGCGATACGTGGGCGGTGACAGGAGACTTGCGATGGCGTCCTGTTATTGTCCTGGCTACCAGTCTCTTTGCTGGTTCTGCTTCTGTTTTTAGAGTTCGGTTTTCTGGCTTTGTCGCATGGCTTTGTCGAAGGACATTTCTTTGTCTTAATTGTTTTACTAATGATATTTAAATTAGTGGTCTAAGTGACCGCGGGCGGTTTTCTGCCACCACCCCCCATTATCCATTATCCTTTTCTTCGTTCTTTTGTTTTTTTTTGTTTGTTTGTTTGTTTGTTGTTTTGCATTTTGACATTTCATTTGTTTAGATCTTTCAACGAGGGTTGACAATCCAGTTAGGGAAGTTAAATGGGGGAAATGCCAGTAAAAGAGTTGCTTTTATGGCAGTTTTAGGTTATAAACAACCTGCCTATTAGTTAGTATAACAAACTACTTAAAACTTAATCAGATTCTCTTGCTATAATTTATATTTTTGCTTTTCATCTTCTAGCAACGGCTGGCATAATTATGTCGTCATTATCAAAAACACGTGGTGCAATTTACCAAGCTGACAAAAGGAGACGCGACTTGTACTCCTGCAGAGCTAAGAAATGGATTGGATGCGGAAAATGCTGGGGTGTAGAGGGAGGGGTAGCGGAGAAAACTCGTCGCACACGCCACGAATTATGAATATCAGAAAAATGCACAAGATGAATGGCACAGGAAAATGCCAGCGGGATGGAGAGATCTGAAAAGACAAAACGGGAGTGGGAAATTAGTTTTCCACGCATCGCCAGCAAAGACAATGGAGCGCAGGAAAAAAGCAGAGGGGAAAAATTGTTCGTAGAGCATAGAGCGGGGGGATTGTAGAACCTAAGGCGGCACCTACACGTGATAATTTAGAGCAGATTGTCGCCTCCCAAACTCCAGATAGATAGGAAGAAGAAGAAAAAATCTATATAAGATATATCCGTCGGGTAGGTGGGGGGTGTGTGGAACACTTTAGAGCCATCGTATTTTTGGATGGACATTTGCATTCAATTACGGCAGCTGTGAGCCGGCCCTGATTTATATTTATGCACGCGTCTCTGACGGCCCATAAAGGAAACCCCAAAATGCGCCACAGCGGGGGAAAAACTCAGGGGGATTTTCCCCTTTTCCCCCTGTATATATATATAAAAAAAAAAAATAAAAAAGAGTTTGGCGCTGCCTGCGCTCAATCATAATTATGTGATTTGTTTGCGACGCCGGCGCGGCCGACTAATTAAACGGCGAAATGACAGAGTGGGTGGGTGGATCTATATAGCCTATGGAAAGGGTGAAAAAAAAAAAAAACTGGAAAAGAGTATGGGGGAAATGTTGACGTATTGTCGCTGATGTTGCCCCGCTGAAATTATGACATTTTGATTTCAGCCCGAGCCCCATTTGATGTCCCTCAGCCGGCGCACTCGTCTGATTTATGCCTCCTCCAAAATCCAGGGGAAAATGTGAGGAAAATCATAAAAAAAAAAAGTAAGATAGAAAAGGAGTGTTAGAAGGAATCAGGCGGGTGCCAAGGTGAAGACTAATTAAGAGGCGGAATGGCTAACGGATTGCAGCTGCATTTTACAGTTAAAAAAACAAAAGAGGGGAGGCACTTAGGCTGTATGTCTCCTCCCTCTCTGCTGTAATTCCCATGACATTTGGGACATTCGGTGGCCAAGATCGAAGGGTTATCCCAAATCGATTAACATTATTAATGAATGCATATCATGGGAATAAGTGGGTACAGCAGAAGGTTGTGGTGAGGGGCTTGGGGTTACAGGTGGAACAAGGAAAGTCAAAACACGAAAAGGTTTTCAAACAATTTCAATTCTCAGAAACGAATGAAATGAACTCCAGCGAAACATTGTCAACATGATTATCAACTGTCTCCCTCTTTCGTTCTATCTCGCTCTCTGCCTCTGTCTCTGTCTCTGTCAGCATATTTATGGGCCAGGTTCATTTTGAGGTTGAGTTTGGAGCCGAAATGCACTGAGAAAAAAAGGTTATTTAAGAAGCGAATCAAAACAGATGATAAAGAAAGCTTTTTGGATTAAGATTTCGATTGATTTATTTTGAAGGAAATTATAAAGAATTTTGAATAAAATTAAATGAAATTTTCTAAGATTTTAGTTACATCTTTCAAAGTTCTAAGAGATCAGATTTTCAGATCAGTTTTTAATGTAACAAAGCTATCAAATTTCTTACCGTGTAGTAACTGAGGCTTTGGGGCTGCCCGGAGAGCATTGGAATGTCCAAATGTTCGATCATAAAACAAAGACACAGCCGCAGAAACAGAAACAGCAACAGAAACAAAAACCGAAACTTAACTCAAACTCAAAACTGAAACTGAAACAGAGAGACAAAACCCGAAACGAAAAGTCGAAATCGAGACGGCAGCGAACGAGGTTGAAAACGAGTCGAATCAATGCAGATAATATCAATTATATGTAAAAGATACACATGCATGCGATAGATACATTTGCCCCGATAAGCATTTAAAATATTAACATCAACAACCGACTGGGAATCCATGTCATGGAATGTCTCCCATTCCTCCATCTCCAGGGTCTCTCTTTCGTGTCTGTATTTATAATTCGTTAGAATTCACATACAGTTTGAATTATAGCCATGCAGATCGAAATCTGTTGAGGTTTTTGTGTCTTTAACCTTTTTATCACAATTATCTAACTTTCATGATAAATCGAACTTTGGCAGAACAGAAAAGGTTCTCATTTGAATAGGAAATGTTTATAAACTTAGAATTTTATGTAACTAACAAAATTATAGTAAATTAACATCTTCCTTTAAATAGTTTTTAATTTTTATTTACATTAAATTAGGCTACATCAATGGACTATGACTACAAAATACATTTTATGTACTCAAAAAAAAAATGAAAAAAAAAAGAATTATTTTATAAAATAAATAACGGTTTGATGATTGTTTTTTTCATTTTGCGAACTAATAAAATACTATAATAAAATACAAACTGTTCTTTCTCAGCCAGTTGCTATAAAGAATCAAAATGGGAACAGTTTCGGAAACAGTGCAGACACAAACCATTTACGTTTAAGCAAGGTCTCGTACCTGCACTGCTTTCTTTGATTTTCTACACACAAAGCAGTTCTGCTCAGGAAGTGACAAATCCCTAATTAATTAGCTAATTAATCTGAGTTAATCTCACAATTATTTAGCTAATTAATCAATTAATTAAATGAAATGATTTAAGTTAAGTCACAATTAACTAAGATAGTTGATCAATGGGTTGGAAAAAGAAGTTAATTCAGATATTCCAACATAATTGATAAACTAACTTATGAATATTTCGACCAACATCACTTTCAATTAGCCAATAAGCTACTAAAGTTGTTAGTTAGTTAGTTAGTAGCTATTAATTAATCCTTGCAATAGCTGGAGCTGAGGACATTTTCGGCCCCCGCGAGAATGGCTCCCTCGTGTTGGGGACACAATTTCAGGTAAAGTTCAGTGGACTCCATGGCCTCGATGAGAATGTATTCCAAGTAGATGCGTGGCGCCGAAAGTATGCGCCATGTTAGTGGATTCAAGATGTTTGTCGGATATTCCCAATTAACGGTGGCATATTCCGGCTCTCGAAGATTACGTCCGGCCACCAAGGCTTTGTATTCATAGCCCGGCTCAAAGTACATAGCCTTCTGTGAGAACTTCATCATCTCCGTGGCGGCACGCTCCTTCTTGCCAACCTTCTTTTGCAGGGCATCATGAAGTTGAATGGACAGTATACCAACCTCACCGCCATGAAGAGTACTCTCATCATGTCCGGAAACTCGCACTGTTATGCGATAGTGTAGTCGGCAGAAGGGCTTACTGTCGCCTGTCCAAAGGTAGAAGACCCCCGGTGAATCGCCTTGCTGTATCTGACCAAGATCCACCTGTTCCTGGTAATCCTCCTGGCTGTGATAGCCCATTCGCAGGCACGTATGACCTGGCTCCTCGCAGCTAGTGCACTTGGTGTCCTTGAAGCTCTGAAAGATAGGATATAAAGTTGTATATTATAAGTGATATCTTTAGATTAAGCTTCTACTGTACTCACCTCAAAGGAATCGCAAGTTATTCCGAGAAAAGGACACTTGGAACCGATGCTCTCCGTGAAATACTGCTGGCTGCGGATGTGATTGCAGCCGAGGAACTCTTGCATGGTCAAGAACAGGGTCTTCTTCTTGACCACATCCTGGAATTTCTTGTTACAGCCGGGATTATCGAATCCACCATTGGGAAAGAAGTCCACGTGACCCAGTCGCATATTGATGCCCAGACCACCCTTCATCAGGGGATTGGCATCGGTGTGCACAATGTCCACGAAATGGGCATCTGTCTTGTCCAACCGAACGATGGGATCGGTGTCTGTGAAAAGGGGAGCAGCAGGATCCAGACCAGTAATCCGAGCAGGTTTTAATCCAAAGTCATGCTGCAGATGATAGCCTGCATAGCCGGATAGATGTGCACCCAAAGAATGACCAATTATATGGACATTATCCAGATTAGGCAAGCGCAGCTCTTCGTACAGCATGTGCACTACATGGGCAGTGATGGCGCCCACCAGTCGGATATTGGCCACCGCCTGGACATACGGAGGACTGGCACCACCGCCCCAATCAATAAGGACAACGGCAGCCCGACCCTCTGGTTCGTGGGCCAGCAGAGCCTTCGCCATGTCCCACATCCAAGGAATCTCACCAGACTCTAGGTAACCATGAACCAGCAGAAATATCTTTCCCTTCGGATCCATTCCCATGCCCTGGATGCTATCCGGATCATTGAGATCCAGATATTTCGGTTGATCCAATGCCCTTCGCATGTGCAACGTAAAATGTGGCTCAATCTCAGAGGGTTTCTGTGGATGCACATTTATCGACCTGGTCACCGTGTTCCATGGCCCATTGATTGGAAAACAGCCGTAGACTCCAAAGCACTTTACCTCGTTGATGTCTGAAAGGGATTGAAGCAATCAGTGGGTTATTAGCTGGTTATTTGGTCTATAAATCAGCGGATCGAACACCTGGATCGAGATAAGTTACCTACGATTAGAGAGTACTAACTGATTGTCAAGGGGAAATCGCTTAAGTTGAAATCTTAACACTAATCTAAGGTAACATATCTAAGGGTTATATTAATCTAGAAACCAATAAAATTATAGAACTAAATCTGTGATTAATATTCTTTAAAAATGTTGCAAGTTCTCAATTAGAACTGTTTTGGTCTGCTGGAAAAGCCTAACCAGCCATGAAAATCTTTAATAATTTTCAGCAAACGACATCTTCCTTGGATCACAGCTGTGATCCATTAACTCTATCAACGAGCCGTGATGAAGGTTTGATCGGAAATTGATATTGGCTTGGAGACTCCCATTCATTTGGCCACTGGTGCATAGATGACCCACCATTGTCGTCTCTTTTTATCGCGGTCTTCTTTGGCTTTCCGTTTGTATCGGAAGTTTTCGATTAGATAGCCATATGTCCCGTCCCCCGTACCATTATACTCGTCTATATATATATATATATATATCTACATAGGTAAACCGTACCGGACGAGTCACGTCATTAGCCTCTAAGACCCTGATTTCCAAACCAAATCAAAGCATGCTGAGTTGCCACCTGTGTTTCCATCGGACAGGTGATCGCAATCGCCGCGGGTTTTCATGGGAAGAGCTTTCCCTCATACATTTGCCACACCGAACAGCACTCAGCATCTTTGGATGTTGAACTAAGTTAAGACCCAAGAAACTGTTTGTTCAACACACAAGGCAACAAGAAACCACTTAAAGCGGTTGAAAGCCCCAAATTGGTGGCCCCTTACTGGGCTCAGAAGCACAGCGGCGGGCAAGATAATAGCTATAATGATTGGGTTCTCTGATTTACGGATATTTCGTATGTCAGTGGATTGATTTTCTATTAATAGGTAATAAAAATAAAAATATGTCGAAATGAAGGAAAATTTAAATAAAAACTTTTTTAATTCTTTCTAATTTTGTTTTAACTGGAAAATTCTAAAATAATGTCCTTAGGTCAAGTGTTACTTCTCTCTACATAAAAATATTAAAAACCCTCAACTACTCTTCTTATGACCGCCACTGTGGCCCAGAGCAAAGACACTTTGGGCCACTTTCGATGGACATGTTCTAGTTAAGCTAGATGGAGCAATCGTGGATCGCATTACTTACCACTTTTGGGGGCTGGTGGCAGGTCGACCAGGGTATTGACAGCCGCTCGACTAGTGTGATTGGCCAGATACAACATAGTCTGCAGCATCAGGCCGCCAGTAGTGTTGGCCACGTACATCTTTGTGCCGTAAGCCCTTTGGGTCCTTTCAGGATCTTACGAATTTCCCACCAATTTAAATCACAAACACACTTTTCCTCCGGGGGCTTAGTCGATTCTTAACAATCACAAATCACTTGAACGAGTTGGCCACTCGAGTGGGCTGTTCTCGTATATTATCTAAGGCTAGGACTATATAATCGAGTTGGATCGCTTGTTTTGGTGCCTGGCTTTTCGTTAGTTTTAATTAAGTTAAGTAAAACGTTAATCTTATCGACTGTCTTTCGTCTCGAGTATGCCGTTAGTTTCTTACGGCCCTCGGGTTTTCACTTTGACAATCTCAAATGACTGGAACGTCTATATATGTCGGTAAATATATATATATATGAGTATATCTCCGCCGATCTGAATCGCTTGGGAACCGTCGCAGCACTGAGCGGATCAGCTGCGCCCCACGCAATTTTTATGCCCAGCGCCAAGACGACTTCCGAAGCTGCAGCCGAAGCCACTGGCCGATGACGTTGGTCCGATAGTGCTGACAAATCCGATGATTTCCCGACGCATAATGTATATATATTAACTATATAGTAAATGACTAGCTTTCAAAGGTCAAGATTGGTAAAAAGACTTGTACTGCAAAGATCATGGAAATTCTTGGAAAAGTTAGCTTAATGTTTTTTCCATATTAAAACTTTAACTGAAAAAATCTTAAATTCTTATCTTAGCAAGTTTTAGCTTTATTTTTATAGAGACCAATATCCGATCTCCTCTATATAGCCAGCACTGATCAGTAAGCTTCGGCACGCGACTTCCAGCAGAGAGTGTGTGCGGCGAAGAGAGGTAAAGGCCCTGAGCTGCTGTTTATTCAAAGTGAACCCCCCACCTCTGTGCTGTTTCGCTCAGTGTAGATGCAAAGTACACCAGCTGGCGGGGCTGCTCTTTGTTGGATGCACCTTCTTGATAAGGAATCGGCTATGCTTTGCTGACGACCACAAAGTGACCGCCATGGAGGCGTTCGACAATCTTCTCGAAAGGGGGTCATCACCAAAGAGGAGGATCCCCATGTAGGGTCAGAAATAGAGGATGAGAAAGCCAACCGAGAGCTATCAATGGTCTGGTCTTCATAAACCGTTCTGCAGGGAAAGAAATTTATTTATTATTTAATCCACTAATTTGGTTTTAAATTGTTTTTTTACCATCAAGTTCCTTTTTGTTCCTTTTCAGACTTCTTTAAGGGAAAATGTGTTTCCAAGAGGCCCACAGAAAGTAGGCAGTAGGGTCTGCTTAAGCTGTAGTATCAGTCATAATATATCTTCCTGTGAGTTAGTTTTGAAAAGATAATATATATATCATAACTATCATCGTAACTACTTACTGAAACTCCTCTATAAGTAGTGTCTCTATGAAATGTTTATCAAAAATGCCATCTACTTACATCTATAGTCGATTATTTTGCAGTGTATAGGTTCCCAATGAATTTCTGCAGAAAGTGTGTCAATCGCCAGGCCCCTGACACGTCCCTGCCCCTCAATCCGCCGCCCCTGACAGGTGGTGTCAATGCCTGGTTAGTGCTATATATATATATTCTATATCACATTCCCATTGACACACGTTATCAGCTGGAAGCGTTTCTCGCAGAATCCCGTTTCGCTTTCGAGGCGTCCAAAGTCCGGAGAAGGTGTTTACGGGGTTTCGATTGCTCGACATTCCACCAGGATCTCGAATCTTGCCCATTGACGTCAAAAGCGGAGGCCTTTCAGCAGCAGCATTATCACGACTTAAAGTCTGTAGTCTGGTATTCTGCTTTTTTCTTGTTTTTGTTTACGACTTTCTTTGCCTTGCCATGGGAAAACATCCAAGCAAAACTTCCTTATAAAATTTCCAGGATAACTCCCTAAGATCATATCTATATATTTAGATAATGGTAATGACTCAGTGGATTTTCATTTCCGTAAAGAATTTGCAGCTATTGCTCTCCGATTACCGATGATAAGCATCGAACTTTGATTCTGAATATTGATTCCGGTTCAAAAATCCACTTGCATTGCAAATCGGACATTGGAGAGGGCAACTGCCACGCCCATATGTGATAGCTGGATTACAAATATTTTGTTTACAACGGGAATTACATGAGGCATATAGATTAAAAAAAAAAGAAAACAAATTGAAAATAGCAAAACAGAATCTAAAACAATATGGAATATTGAATAACAATCAGTGCAATCGGGGTATCAATGACATAAGCCCCCAAGGGGATTGGTGTTTACATAGATCAGTGCCGTCGGATCAGGGAACTATATATATACATATATATATAGTACACAGTGGGTGCAAAGTATAAAGTACGTGCAATAAGTCAAGGGTCTTGCACAGGTATTACGAATGAATTTTAGCTATAACAAAGCTTTTAAGATTCAACTTAAGATCTGCAACTTGAAGAACATTTTCTAATCTTATTTTTGGCAAACAATACCAAAATGTAGGTCACTAGAACATAGACTAGACATGGGAATTACTTAATCTTTCATGGGCAATGAAATTACTCATAGTTTTTGAATGTTTTAGTTTGGAACAAACTTTCGGTACGATTATTATTTATTTGCTAGAAAACAAATTTTAGCATAGAATTAAAGTAGAATTATGGCAGATCTATTTTTTAAAGAGGACATTACTTCGGTTAGGGCAGACTGTTGTTGCGCTTATTGTCCTTGAAGGTTAATCTGTGTTGGATTTGGGATTCGATCGGTATTGAATACAGGTATATATATATATATATATATATATCGTATATAATATTATGGGCTAGCAATGGCACTTAGGATTAGCTTAGCGTACAACTAGTTTAACATAAGGATCTGGTAAACGAGGATCACTCGGTGCGCTGCATGATCATCTCGATTTTATCGCCAGCGGCGGCAATCAGCGGAACGGTAAGGCAGCAGTCAAAGTCCTGCGTCTTCATCTCATTAACCTAAAAAGAAAATATATATAATTACAGTTCCATTCATAATCAATATATATATATATATATATATAAACCTACCTGCATAATGCGATCGAAGGGCTTAAGAAGACCGCACATATCGGCAGGTCCACCGCTGCGAATCCTATTGATGAAGACACCCCGCTCGTAAAGTCCATCGGACACCGAGAATCCATAGTCATCGTACACCTTATCCTTGTACAGGGTTACATGGAAAACCCGAGGTTTTCCGCTGACATTTCCATTACTGCCGCTAATGCCATTTGCATTTCCATTGCCCGACTCCTTGCTGGCCTCTGTATTGGCCGAGGGACTGCGTGGCCGCCTCTGGACCTTGGCATAGATGGCCTGCGTCTGTGGCAGATGACTGCCATTGGCCAGATCGTGGCTTCGCAGGATCTTAAGATCTACAAGATCACCAAGATTCTGCAGCAGACTGGTGGCATGCGAAAGGGGCATACCCTGCACCGAGTGCTCATCGATGGCCAGCAGCTGGTCACTTACATGGATCTGGCCATTCTTGTGGGCAATGCCACCTGGTAATTAAAGAAAATTCTTTAATTTTCCTTCTATTAATATACATTTATATGGACTCACCCTCGACGAGACCACTGATCGTAATGGGCTTGGTTATATCCTCACTCCCCGCCAGGGTTATCCCCAGCAATCCTCCCTTGGGCTCCAAACGCACAGTGAAGATGATCTGATGCAGGCTACTCCCACTGCTCTTGCTGCTCGAACTGGCCGCCGAGCCATACACCTTGTTCTCCATGGGCGGCGGAAGGGCAGTGCAGTCAACACTGAAAAACAATTATTATTACATTTTAATCTCAATAATAAGTTAAGCAAACTCCCACCTGGCATAGCGATTAAGCTCATAGCCAGTATACATCTGTTCCTGCTCATCTTCCTCTTCGGGCAATTCGGTGGTTAAACTCTGGGTATTGGGTGGAGCTACAAAGGATCGACTGTTGACACCGGTAGACCAGCCGTTACTCTGACCTCCAGCTGAACCCGGACCAGATCGCAATTGAACGGACTGCAGACTGGCATCGTCCATGCTGGGCACTCGAAAGTAATCCGGTTGCGGAGTCCTCGACTTTAGGGAGACACAATCTGCATACTTTCCCGCCGTCACATAGGCATTGCTATACAGATCGTGATCCATGCTGGTGGATACACCCATTCCCATGCCCAAATTAATGCCACTGGCAGGACAATTGCTATAAATGGGACTGGACATGGGCAGGAAATCGGGCAGGACGATCCGCTTGATCGTCAGAGTGGTAAAGTCCGAGGAGCTGTGATTCTGCGATCTGCCCTCCTCCTTGAGCAGTGCGTCTACATTGAAATGCTGCACTGGATGCTGGTCAACGGCCAGCAGGATATCCCCCGATCTCAGGGAACCACTGCGATGCGCCGGACTGCCCATTTTCACATCCGATATAACCAATCCGCCGTGACTGGAACCACTAACACTGAGTCCCAGACCACATTTGCCGGCCCTCAGCAATTTGACACTGAAGACACCACTGGATGGCACCACAGCATCCGGCATATCGAACTCAATCTCCAGCTCCAGCCAATTGGCAGGCGCTCCAACGTTTCCTCCATTGCGACTTAATCCTCCTTCCAGGAGTTGCCTCATGGCCGCCGCATCCAAACTGTACATCTTGTTAATGGCCACGATCCGATCTCCTGCTTGTATGCAACCACTGCGATCAGCCACTGAATCCGCTAGAATCTGAGCAATGGCCACAGCTCCGGATCCTGTTCCTCCAGTCCCTGATACGTTTCCTCCCGATTCTGCTAGGATTATGCCAGCACCTTGGCTGCAATCGAGCAGGACGGGGAAACTCTCCGCCCGGCAAAGACCCAGACCCATGCCCATGCTGCTGCTACCATGAATGCCACCCGTTCCCACTGATCCTCCAGTGGAACCCGGAGTAATAGCTGGATTCTCTAGCGGCAGGGAACTCTTGCGGGCGAAACGCTGACGCTGACGGCCCGCCGTCGAGGATTTTCGGGACTCTAGAGTGCTAAAGCTGTACTTGGGACTACCCAATGCCGTGTGACCTGTTGGGATTGGACAAAGTTATAAGGATTAGTTAGGATTCGACTTCAAGATTTATAGATTTAAGATCCAAAAGTTCTTCAGATCCCCATTCAAAAATGAACTAGAAGTGGTGCCTCCTGCCTTCACTTCCATTCAGCACCTCCATTTCGTTAAGTAGTTTCCCCTTCCCCTTTCCCTTCCCCTTCCTCCAACAACATCTAGTACATTCAATCACACCTCACACCCCCCTCTCTTTCTGACAACTTCTAGAAGCTTTTAAGACCTTTTCCGATTTTTTCTTATGTCTATGCTGGCCTTGTGCCGACTCCACTCGGGCGACTGATCCGCAGCTTAGCCAGCTGCGTGTCCTCTGTGTAGACCACAATTTATGGCCTTTTCGCCTCTCCTCTATTATTTTCTATTCCATTTGGTATTTCCGATTTGGATTCGGATTTGGATTCGATCGATTGTCAAAAAAGACTTTTTCGTCTTTTGTTTTTCTTCAACTTGGGGAGAGAAACGATTGCGGACTGCGTCTCTTTGCGTGTTTGCTTGGCAAATGGAGGGAAAAACTTGGAAAAACAATTGATTGGCTGCAGCGAGGGTGGATCGAGTGGTTCTTCGAGGAGTTTTCTATGGGAAATATTTTGATTTTGAAGAATCATATTGTGATATCTACCGTGAGTATATTATAAAAACTGCAAGATTTTAAAGTTTCTTCTCCAAATTTTTGATAATAATCTGTCTAAAAATGAAACTTAAGTCATTTTCTCTTAACAACTTCAAAAGATATATTATTTTTCAACTTAGAACTTCTTTGGAAACCCCTTGATCTCTCCTCGCTCTATACTTTATAAGGCCTGGCGTCTCTATTGTTTCAGCCGGCGCTGCCTCTTTTTTTTTTTGTTGTGTTCATTAGCCGTGACGCCCACGCCAGACCTTCGTCGCGCCGCTTGGGAGCCTGGCTGATTTGGCCTTGCAGATTTCGACGACCAGATAGCCGAAAAAGTAATGGAAGTGGGGAGGAGGAGATGCTTTGGAAGAGTGCACCAAGATCAGGGGACGAAACCAAAACCAAAACCAAAACCAAAACCAATACTCACCGCGACGGGCCAACGCGTGAGCGGGCATGATCTGCATCTGCGTGTAGCCGCGACCCGTGCTGGTGTCCAATATGGTCATCACCTCGTCGGGACTGAAGGCGGTATGCTCGATCATTGTGTCGTCGATGGAGAGCACCTGATCGCCAACGGATAAGGCACCGCAACTAGAACAAATGCCATGAAACGGGGTCATGAGAATGGCTAACATTCAACCACTTACCGATCTGCAATGCTGGCTGGCAGGATGCTGGCTATAAAGACGCCTCCGGATTCCTCAATCTTTTCCGCACTGGAAGGTGTACTAGAACCGGAACCAGAAGTGGGCATTGCCGGCGTATAGTTACAAAGTACCAGACCCAATTTATCATTCATTGGTCGCTCGATCTCGATAAGCAGCGGTCCCATTGAGAACTCAACACTTTGGACCACGGAAACATCATACTCAATGGTCAGGTTAGTATAGCCAGACACATGACCGCCGCACTTGATGATCTGCTGTGCCTCCGCCAGCGTCTTGCCAATAAGTGAGACCTGATTTGTAAATATATTTTCCATATATACTTTTTGTTATTGCCAAATTCTGGAGAAACTAGAAGAAAATACGCTCCAGGAAACGGAAGTGTCACTCACATTATCGACGCGCAGCAACCGATCGCCCGGCTTGATGCGACCTGTCTTATAGACTGGTCCATGGGGCCGCACATGGGTGACGATCAGCGGGTAGTCGGCCCCGCCCCTTAACGTCAGTCCCAAGCATCCACTTTCCCGCTCTACGGTGATCTGCGCCAGCTTCGAGGTTACACATAGGCTGTTCTGGGAAACTGCTGCGCCGAGGGAAAAGAAGAATTTTAAGATAGGTGACCTCAATATAGCTCACTAAGTTCACTTACTGTATTCGGGCAGCGAGTATTCGATCTCCACGATGGCAGGACCAGCATCTGATCCACTAGCGCAGAGCATATTCATCACCTTTTGGTTACTCAAACCAATCGTGGAGATCCCATCGATCTGATGGAGACGATCGCCGGGCGCCAGGAAATCCGCCGCATGACCCACTGGACTGAGGGAACCCACAACCGGTGGATAGGACAGATCGTTGCGTTCTGGGGAGTAAGATATTGATATTGTTATGGATTAGAACTGAATGTTAAGGCTAACAGATTCTAATCTTCAGATCCCAAAGTTTTCAAGATACCAAAAACTTGTTACTCAACTTCCAAAGTCTCCATCTATCGATCCACAAGCCCACTTCCTTATATAATATCCCAGTTCCCAAAGAAATCGAAATGCATCTACCAATCAGGTTAGATAAATCACGTCAAAGTCCCTGGGACATCAACTACCTTGCCGAATTAATTAAAGTTCCTCCCGTTGACTGAAGATTGTGAAGATTCGGTATATGTGGCCTCCCCCAGTTGCCTCTCCTCGTTCCAACATTTGGATTTCCTGTGGCGACTCTGTCAGCGACTCGTCAGCCGACACACGTAGGAAAAACGCATGAAGATTTTCGGGGGGTGGGGGGTGGAAAACAAGAAACTCGTACAGAGGCGCGTAAATAAAGAAATCGGGTAAAAAAAAAAAAAAGAAGAACGGCGACCAGTAGTTTGGGGCCAGCCGCAATGGGAGCGCTATTGGCAAATTGCCAAATAATAAAAAAAAAAATTAAAACACAAAACTAACTGAAAAACTAGCCGCCGAAAAAGAAAGCAAAAAAAAATGGCAAGAAAGTGAGGGGGAAAAACCGACGCGACGCTTTATGACAACACACATTGCAGACTGGCGACCACGGAGAAGCAGATGATGATGATAATGCCGGGGATTGGGCCATGGATGATGGGTTGGATGGAGGCGATGCTTACGTCAGCAAACAGAAGGAGTAGCCGCCGTCTAAGACTAAGGTTAAACCCCCAAAAAAAAACAAAAGCAGTCGACCCTTGCCCACTTCACACTCGCCAAATCCCCAACGCGGCAGATTAGTCAAGAGTACAAAATCCGAATGGGTGGACTTTATATTCTGATTCAGACGAAATCAGTCACAGCAACAGCATGGGTCATGTTAATAGGTGTAATAGCTATATATTAAAAAAATAATATATTTTTTAGAAATATTTTTAAAGGTTTTTCCTTAGCTAGGAAGAAAAATTTAACTTTAGAAAAATTTAGTTTTGAAAAAAGAAACCTTTTAATATAAAGTTAGTAACTATAATTTTGGATCCTGCTGTTTCTACGTGTACATACTCATTATTATGTCTGGCATCGGAACCCCCCCGCCTACCGCCCCCGTCAACTTACCCCTGGGGGTGGGCTTCTCTCTAGATTGGAACGATGATTTATTTTGGCAGCGACAACAGCAGACGAAGACGGAGACGTAGACGGAGATACGAATACGGACGACTACGGAGCAACGGCATTATCGACGGAGACGGAGACGCGTTCCGCATTCAAATCGAATGATTCGGGGCCGGCCCACTTTGTCTGGGCGATCGACGGTATATATGTATATATACAGCAATAGCCATACAGTTATATGGCAACAAAAACAGAAAACCACCCCGAGATCTTGGCCATGCCATGCCATGGCATCCCAATCCCTCATTCCATTTTGCTAAAGAAAAGCATAGGGCAGCCCCATCATGGACCCGACCCCATCGACAATACAATAAATCAATGCTGAGCTCTAGAAATTAGTACAGCCGACTGATATATATGCGGTCATATCCATGTATGTAATGTTAGATATTTAAGAAGGAAAAGCTAAGGAAAATCCAATAGATACAACTCTGGTTTGGATTTGATCTGTTAATCTGTATCAAAACCTTATTAAGTTAAAGTTTTCATAAAGTTTTTACACATTAAGTAGTATTAATAGGTTTCTAAATGACTGATTCTTACTCCAGATTCAGATTAGATCACAGATTTCCAATCATTATTAGCGACCCGCATAAACTGCCCTCTCCTCCTCTCAATTGATATGATTGATCCGTGGCTCAATTTGTGTCTAACATAATTATATAATCAATATTGATTTCGGATGACAGCTGTCAGAAGATTTTCCGCCGTATATGAGTGTGCTGCCTCCTTCCTAAACCGCCATAAAGATATCGGCTTACCCCACATAGAAACCCCCCTTTCTTTTCTTTTTTTTCCACTTGAGATGCATTAGTGGATGGGATGAGAGGAGCCCCTTCTTACCTGCGAATGTGATGGCCAAATGCAGGGCATTCCGCGGCAAAGTGATGGTGGCGTAGGTGGTACCCCTTTCCGGTGCCAATCCGGAGTCCTCCGATTGCGCCGGACTCATCGCTCGGTCAACTGTAAAGAAAGTAGAAAAAGAAAATTGTGAGAAAAAGCGAACAGCATACATAGAAAGATCACAAAGATCAAAGGAGAGTCTTCAGTTGACCAACTTCTTTTGCATTTTCTTAATTTATTCCGCCACACCAGACATCAAAGGAGGCACCATCATCGCCTCCTTCTCCACCTTCTTCTCTGCCTCCTCCTGTTATGCCACGCCCACCCTCCTAGCTATAGACATCGTATCCAATTCGATTCGGAGAATTCCCAATACAAATCGCGACCTTCGACGTCGCCAAAAAAGCTTCAATTAAAATTCCACCAGCGAATGAATCTCACTCGAGGAATTATAAAGACACAAAAACAGACATGAATCGTACAAATCGTATATATATATATATATATATATAGATATATATCTATAAAAATGTGAACTCAATTAATCTTGTATGATGCCCCCAAAGCATATGGTACAATAACAAACAAAAACACGAAGCCAAGTGGCGGATCACTTTGGAAAATTGGGAAATCAAATTGAAATCGAATGGTTTGATAAAAGACAAATGCCTATGAAATGGCTAATTTTGCAATGAAGTCCAATATCCTAATCAACTTGAGCTGATTTTCTGTCTATCGTAAAATATATAACCAGTAATTGGTATTAGGAAATTCTTACAAAATATTAAGAGGGAAATCAAAACCATATCAGATCATTCTTGAATCCGAAACAAAAATCATACCTTTAGGTTTTCATTTTACAATTCTGCAATTTAATTATTTAATGACTCAATTTAAGTGTTAATTGTTTTTTTGTTTTAATTTATAAAAAAAACAAAAAACCATTAAAAAACAGAACAATTTATGGACCACAAAAGTTTTTTGGTGGCAAAACAACGATAATTCACTGTACGAGTAGCCTATACAATGTATGTACGTCTACCCCTCATTTTCCACCTACCCTCCCCCTTTCATTTTCCACCCTTACTTCATTCAGTTTTTCTTTTTTGTGCGTGTGTTTGTGTCGGTGTTTCTGTGTAGCAACACTTTTTGTTTTTTTTTGTTTTATTTGGGGACCACGCGGCGTATACGCGATCTGCTACAATTACGCCGTGTGTGCGTAACGAGTGAATTTCCCTCACACGCACACGCACAATGGCAAAAACAAAAACAACAAAAATTAAAACTAAAAACAAAAGTAAAAAATAGAAAAAAAAATAGAAAAAAATAGAAAAAAAAATAGAAAAAAAAGAATAAGAACACACGTGGCACAACGTTTGACGCAAGCGGACGCGACTTTTATTTTCGAACGCTTCAATGGCGCATAAAGTTTTTCTTAATGCGCCCGCCCGACTATGAAAAGGCAGCAACAATAATTAGGCAAAAGCCCACGAAGGAAAATGGAAAAAAAGAAAGAAAAAAAACGGAAAACTAACAGGGGCAGTGAGCTGCTAAAAAAACGTAACGTTTCGCTTCATTTGTCCGACCCACTCACACACACGCATATACACAGGAGATTCTCACATACATACATATACATATATAGAGAGCTGATTCGCTATAATTTATTTTCATTTAATTTGTTTTCTTCGGTTTCGGTTTCGCTTCTTTTCGCCTTCACCCTCCTTCCTAATCATCTTCCTCTTTTCGCTCTTCTTCTTTGGCGGCTCGAAAAGGTGTGCCAATTTGGTTTAGTTGCACCTTTGGCTACACTGCGAGAAAATGGTAGTTTGTTGGATATTTTGTCTTAATTTTAAGTAAAGTTTTTCTTCATATTTAATCTGACAATGTTTTTGGGGCAATACAAATTGTTTTTAATTTAAAAATATTTTTTTTAAATCTAATCTTAAAAAAAGATTTAAAGCTTTAAATTCCCCTACAATTTGTAATAATTTTTGATATTTTTTATAATTTAAAATATTATTTTTTAAAAATCTTGCAAGCTTATAATAATTATTTCTCATTAAACACATTCTAATACGAATATTTCCTAAAATCAGGTGCTAAAAGTAAACATTTTTCTGCCCTTATCTCACCTTCTGTCTTCCCCTTAATGTTCCGTTATTCTTTCTTTTCGTCTCCACTTTGATTCGCATTCGCTTTGAAGTCTTCACAGTTCTCTCTACGATTTTTGTGTGTCTTTCTTCTTCGTTTTTGTTTTTTTCTTTTGGATGCGCTTTTCATTTGCTATTTTTACATGCGCGCTTTTCATTTTCATTTTGATTTCCACAGGCAAAGGCGCTATTAGTTTTTTTTTTTTCGATTTGTTGTTATTTTTTATATTTTCTGGCTAGTTTTCTTTTTGTTTTTTGACATAATTCATTGGAGCCGTTGGTTGGTGCCGGCGAGCGGAAATTATATGTACGCCCGGTTTCATAAATAAATGTAATCAGAATTAAGCGAAAAGCGGGAAAAACAAGGCGAACACGAGATGCCCTGGAAGTGCTCGACATATTCCCTTCCTCCTCCTTTGGGGAAAATTTTTAGGGGGGGGCGGTCTAAAGAACAAGTCGAAATGAGCCGAACGCTAAATGAAATCGAAAAGAGCCCATAAAATAGCCAACTAATGTGATGGAGTGCGTATGGATTTATGAAATACTATATACGCGGATACATGGGGCTGGAAAAGCACATGGAGGTATATATATATATACACATGTTCCGACTTGAATCCGGAACTGATTTACACATTCCCCAAAATTCCACTTTGAATGTTAACAAGTGGGAGTAAAGCTTGGGATTTTGGTAAGACTTATTAATCGTTTACTAACTCTTTTGGTAGTTAATCTCTAGCTATCAAAGAGTTACCTATCACTCTTCTAACTTCTAACAGCTAATAGAAAACTTCACAAAAATCACAACTCTTCTAGATAATTGACTTATAAATAATAATTACTACTTCACTTTATGGCCCCGTGCAGCTATTAAAGATTTCCGGGGAAAACCCGGCGACATGGAAAGTGTCATAACATTAGGTCCAAATTAACTTATGGACGCTGCCTAATTCGCATTGCCATTTGCAGTTCCGTTTTGGAGAAGATGAAATGGATTTGGATCTTTCGGATCTCTTTTGGGATCTCCAGATTGGTGGGGCAGTTAAAGCTATTTCTGTGCCTTATGCCTTATGCCTTATGTGCCGCCTGTCGTGATGCGTTCGTTTTTATGGCCACTCGCGGAAAAGTTGCAGGCAAATTTATCGGCGACAGTTGCCAATTCCTTCTCTAGCGGAAATTGCGCTCATCCGAAAAGATTTTCACAGGCGTGCGGCTAGAGTAGGGAAAGCGAAGAGGTGTGGCAGTGCCACCAACATTATATAAACTACTTCCTGAAGTCATCCTGGCAATTAGAAAGATCACAGATACTTCGTTCAGTGATTGAAATAGACCCCAGGCAATGATGATCCATCTATCTACCCAAGATTGGGGTTGGAAAATTGCACAAGTGCCTCGGATCTAGACAGACAGAGTTCCTACATCGCTGGGGGTCGTCAGACGTCAAGAGTTTCCCAGCTTTTGTGCTCTTCCCTCTTCTTGATAATGTTGTCTTCTGGAATGGTTCATTTGCCCCATGGAATTCCTCAGCGATTTGCCACATTTACTTGCAAAATAGACATCATTCAGGGGAAATCTGCCCAACGCGATCTGTTCATTATAAAAAAAAATTAAGAAAAAACAAGAAAAAGAGGGAACTGACATTCCAATGTTGTCTAAGAATTCGAGATCACAAGGTTCTCCAGATGCACTTGAAAAAACAGAGTGCCAAAAGCAATCTTCTTAATTTATTTCCTCTAAACTTTAAAAAAATGAATATTAAATAACTTTCTTTATCTTTTAATAACTCAGATACCTTTCTTTCTTTCTTTATCCAAGTTATCCTCCGTCGATCAGATAGTTCTCTTTTATTAAGTTGTTCTTTCAGATAACATATATATATATAGATATATATCCAATTGACAGGTGCTGGAAGATCCATTTGATGTGGATGTGGGCCAAACAGTCGACTAATTGACTGATTGAGTGTGTGAATGTCCAACTGACTGACTGTGCGATGAGTATTGATTGATTGACATGCCAATCTATTGGCAACTTGACGCTCTGTTATTGTTTGCATTTAGCGGCGCTTTTCTCCACGCAATTTCCAGTTTATTTTTCTTTCTGGCCACAAAGAAGGGTAAAGGGAATTTCGTATTTGGTTGTTGAGAGTGTTGCCGAATGGAGGGAGACAGGGGGTTAAGGGGAACGGAAAGGGGAACAGAACCTGAAACTGCGTAGTTTTTAAGTTCGAGTAAGTGCCCATGTATCCATTAACCCACAAAACACTGACTTTGCCTGCACTAAAACAAAATATTCTTAAGTATATGCTTTTTGAAAACTTTAACTATATATAAATATTATTTTTTATAAATTTTAAAGTAAAATTAAAGTTTTTATTTTACTTCAAGCCAACACCAAGGGATTCTTCATAGAAATATTCGTTTTAATTAGAATTAAAAACATAAAAACTATTTCCCTTTAAAAAAACTTAAAAATTTTCTTAGATATAAACACTTTTTCAGCTTTTCTTTTTGTCCAAGTGCTGGTTGACTTATTTATTAATGGACACGCAGGCCAGGGCGTAAAAATACGAGTATGTCAAAAATTTCACAATGAAATCTATTTAGCACACGGCTTCCCCTCAACGCCTTCATCTCTGAATTTCCCGCAATCCTCCTACCGCCACCCCTTCGGCGAAGACAACAAGAAAAACCAATTATTGCAAATGAACTCGAGTGTGGTTCCGCAAAAATGTCAACATCTGATAAAGCCGCAACAAAAGCGAATTTCCAAGGACGGCTGTGGCCAGAGGGCGGCGGGGTTAGGCCCTGCAGCCAAAGTGCAACAGCCGCAACGAACTCAACTTAAATGAACCGAATTTGGCGAAAAAAAAGGGCGACCCTTGGCAGCAACAACAACAACAACAACAACAAAAAGAAGGGGAAAACGCAGCAAGGCATAGGCAGCCACTCCATTGAGATCCTCGGG